GTTAAGATCCCCTTACCAGTCATCTTTTTTTTTAAAAAAAAGAAAGAAAATAGTTAATAATTCTATCAAAACAAGATTGAATGGCTGTGAGTTCAATAAAATAACCAGGTCTCTCCTCCCTCTCCCGACCTGTCATATTTAAATTGTGGTTTGACAGGCTGAGAATGACAAGCCCTAATTGCTCTCCTTTTAACAACCTTGTACCTCAAACAGAAATCCAGTTGCAACCCTATTATTGTACTGAGAGGATATGATTTTCTCAGAGGGTAGGAAGTTGGGAAGACTTCGCAATAGTTTTAAGACCCTGGCCTTCTCTGGGTATCTGTTTCATTAACTCTTAAAAATAAAAAACAAAAAAATCTTACCAGCCAGCCACTAAAACAAAAACAAAAACAAAAACAAAAAGTGAAGGGAACCGAGGAATAGAAGACCAGATTGTCGGGGCCGGCCCGTGGCTCACTCGGGAGAGTGCGGTACTGATAACACCAAGGCCCCGGGTTCGGATCCCATATAGGGATGGCCGGTTTGCTCACTGGCTGAGCGTGCTGCTGACGACACCAAGTCAAGGGTTAAGATCCTCTTACCGGTCATCTTTAAAAAAAAAAAAAAAAAGAAGACCAGATTGTCTTTAAAACCTTTTAACCTCTGAAATGTTTAGAAATGTATTATTTAAATAAAATACTGGAGTCAAGGGACTAGCTGCTTGACCACATAAAAGCCCTATTATTGTGGTGCATGACTTGACTTAATGACTGGGTTTTCTACCTGGCTGTTTCTCTCCTGTCTGGCTTGTAGATCTATCTAAACAAGCTCATATTTCCCAGTCTAAATAAACCAAAAAGAATCAATTACAGTATTTGCAGTCTGTGAGACTTGAGAGCAACAGAAACATAGGGTTTTTTCCCAGTTTGAAGGTAATGCTGTGGTTGGCTACTTTGATTCTGTGCAGGCAGGTTTGACTTAACAGAAAGGTAATATAGGCGGAGCATCCCCAATCTGAAAATCCGAAACGTTTTGAATGCCAACACGACACTCAAAGGAAATGTAATTGGAGAATTTTGGATTTTGGATTTGGGATGCTCAACTGGTAAATATAATGCAAATATTCCAAAATCCAAAAATACCTGAAATCTGGGTTGGCCAGTTAGCTCAGTTGGTTAGAGCACAGTCTTAAAACACCAAGGTCACGGGTTTGGATCCCCACACCACCCAGTGGCCAAAAACAAACAAAAAGCCCCCAAAAAGTTCTGGTCCCAAGCATTTTGTATAAGGCATACTCAACCTATCTAGTACAGTGATCAAGGACATGGACTCTGGTGTCAGTGTCTGGGTTCAAATACCACCTCTGCCACTTATTAGCTATATGTCCTTCAGCGATTTACCTAATCTCTTCATGTTTCAATTTCCTCATCTGAAAAAAACGGAGTTAATAATAAAATGTAGCTCCTGAAATTGTTTACATGGAATTGACAGTTTACTGAGTTTATGAACCTAAGTCACTAAGAGTGTGTGGCACATGGTAAGCACTAATAAACATATTTGCTAATATTATATATATATGCTCTCACCCATTCTAAATCTGTTATGAAAACCAGTGTATTAAAAAGTTTCTCAGGGCCGGCCCGTGGCTCACTCGGTAGAGTGCGGTGCTGATAACACCAAGGCCCCGGGTTCGGATCCCATATAGGGATGGCCAGTTCGCTCACTGGCTGAGCGTGGTGCTGACAACACCAAGTCAAGGGTTAAGATCCCCTTACCGGTCATCTTTTAAAAAAAATAAAAAATAAAAGTAAAAAAAAAAAAAAAAGTTTCTCAGGGCCAGCCCGTGATGCACTCAGGAGAGTGCAGCGCTGGGAGCGCAGCAGCGCTCCCGCTGCGGGTTTGGATCATATGTAGGGATGACCGGTGCACTCACAGAGCTCACTGGCTGAGCGCGGTGCGGCCAGTCTCAAAAAAAAGGACAAAAATGGGCCGGCCCGTGGCTCACTCGGTAGAGTGCGGTGCTGATAACACCAAGGCCGCGGGTTCGGATCCCATATAGGGATGGCCGGTTTGCTCACTGGCTGAGCGTGGTGCTGACAACACCAAGCCAAGGGTTGAGATCCCCTTACCAGTCATCTTTTTTTAAAAAAAAAAAAAAAAGGACAAAAATAATAATAATAAAAATAAAAATAAAAAAACAGCAGTGGATTAAAACAAAAAAATAGTAGCAGCAAATGGTCGGCAGGAGGTTGATGAGAAGTATTGTGGAAGACCTATGTCAAGAGGGCTAAGTGCACCAGCTGCCCCCCCCCCCCGCCAAAAAAAAGGGCTAGGTGCCATCTCTGAACACAGTTTCTGCATTTATTATGAGCTGGACCAGGCAAATTCTAAAGTCTCTTCCAGCTCTGACAATCAGTATAAGATTTTAGGGCTGGCTGGTTAGCTCAGTTGCTTAGAGTGTGTTGTTTTAATACCAAAGTCAAGGGAGCCCCTTACCAACCAGCCACCAAAAAAAAAAAAAAAAAAAAAAAAAAAAGATTTTAAAGTCCATAGTACAGTTTTCAAAGTATGTCTGCCTCCAACAACCTTGTTTCACAATGCAGACTGTAAACATTGCTGATGTATTACCTCCAAAGTATTTTGGGGCTTTCCACGAAGACCTCCAGTCAAAAGTAATATGTACATGGGCAGGCTGTGGCTCACTTGGGAGAGTGTGGTGCTGATAACACCAAGTCAAGGGTTAAGATCCCCTTACCGGGGCCAGCCCCGTGGCTCACTCGGGAGAGTGCGGTGCTGATAGGGCCGAGGCTGTGGGTTCGGATGCTATATAGGGATGGCCGGTGTGCTCACTGGCTGAGCGTGGTGCGGACGACACTGAGCCAAGGGTTGCGATCCCCTTACCCAGTCATCTTTATATAAAAAAAAAAAAAGTAATATGTCCTATGTTCCTATCTGCTCTAATTCTAACACAATGATTTTCTGATCAGGTACTTTGAAATCCTATTATAACAACTCAGTGAATGCTGGAGCCACAAATAAGTGAGATAGAGTACATGTTGCAAATGTAGATGAGAATGTTAATTCAGGAATAAATTATCATTAATTAAACCATCAAGTACTTTGAAATATTGACATGGCAGGCTTTCCCTCATAATTTGGTGTAAATAAGTTTTGATCATTTGTATATAGGATAGGCACTTGCAAATAGTACAGGCTAATCTACTGGGAAAAAATAGTAGTTTCAATTAAGCCCAATTCTCCCAACCACGTCTTTCACATTTCATTAATCAGAAAGTTAATCCACTTTAAGCCCCTGTTCTTCAAATTAGTCTTTCTTGGCCTCCTAATATATTTAAATTTAAAATTAAATATATTTCATTCCATTGAAGGAAAAGGTCTACGAAGGTCTCATTTTTCTATCTTGAATATCTATGCTTCTGTGTAAACAGAGGAATTTTGTTCTCCGCAAGTACCACACTACATAAAAACCCTAATAAGTTACAGTCCTTAACATTAACAGGAGTCTTAAAAAGGAGGGGGTACTTTCATTCAATAATATGTTTTGTATAACTATTAATTATATTTTGCTAATGGGCAAACATACAGAGTAATCCACTTAGAAAAGTAGAAAACAGGGGGAGGGGGATTAGGGAGAAATTGATAAAGGGCCACAAAAAATGTTTATATTGTGTAATGATAAAATAAAATAAATAAATAAAAGTAGAAAACAGTTTTAGAGTCACAGATAATGGGCTGGGTCACTTAGTACCATATGATTTCGCTCAAAGTACTTAACCTCTCTGAATCTATTTATCTGTACAATGGGATTAACAATATCTAACATGTGGGGCTATGACAATTAAATGACATAATATGTGAAAGTGCTTAAGCTGTGACGGGTTAGTCTGAGTAGGTTTCAGTAAAAGTTATTATTGTTGAAGAAGGGAAGTGACTGGTCCAAGTCTCCTCACCATCCTTATCTAAAAGCCACCATCCCTAGTAAATGCTTGTACTGAAAATACAGGACACAACTTACTTAGTTGCGACTGCCTAAACAGCTTATAAAAATACATAAATAACATTGGGCTTCATTTAAAAGTTTCTTTACTGGTAAGTGACATTCACTGTATTGATGTCAATAGAGTAACTAGACTCAAAAGAAAGTATTAGAATATGTAAAAATTTTTCTCCTGAGTTTGCAAGTAGAATAAAGATTCTAGAAGCATTTATTCGAGGAATATTAACCAAGCATCTCTTATTTGCTATCCACGGTAGGGTACTGTATCAAAATTGTGACCTACCTCATCATTGCCTCACTGTGATACTGAGCCCTCTTTGGATCTTAGCTTCCTTAAACGTAAAACAGGAGTTTTAAAAAGATGATCTTTTCGAACCCTTCCATCTCTGACATTCTTTTATTCGAGGTACAGAGATCTGTGCTCAATCAGGGCTGAGTGGAATGGGACTTAAAGCACTTTTTAAGTATATAACTGAGTTCAAACTGCTTCCAACTTGCTTCCGATTCCTAAGAATGAAGCGGAAAACGAAGATGCTTGCATGTGGACTTCCTAGATTAAGCATCTGACACAAGAAAAGTCTGCCAAAAGCTAAGTGAGCAGCGCGGAGGAGTCGTCTTCCCCTGAATGCATCCTTCATTACTCTGGGTTCAGAGAATACAAGAAAAATGGATCACTATTTCTTTCCCAAACCCTTTCCCTTTTCCCTTGGAAGCTGATCTCACAGCCATGGCCCCTTAGATCCTCCGCTTTTAGGACCTAGGGTCCTCACAGCCCTGTTCCCTCACGGACTCGGAGTCTCAAAGCCCCGATCCCACAGAAGCTCCAGTCTTCACTGCCCGCTTCTGTTCCCTCTGAAACTCAAGTTTTCTCGCCTGCTTCTGCCCCTCTGAAACCTAACTAAGTCTTCGTTGCCCTGTTTTTTATTCCTTTAGGAGCACAGGTCTTCGCTGTCCCGCTTCTGCCTCTTAGGAGCCCAAGTCCTCATTGCTCCACTTTTACCTCTCCGAAGCCCGTGTCTTCTTCACGCCCCATTCCGTTCCGACCCTCTCCTCTTAGAGGAGTGCGGGTCCTCACACTCCTGTCCCTCTCAGACAGCTCTCCTTCAAGTGCTGAAGAACTCATATACGTCCCTGTTCCCTAAGTCCTGTCTGGAGCCCGGGTCCCCACAGCCGCGTCTTCTCCGAGCCCGATTCCCTCAGTCCCGTCCCAAGAGCCTGATGCCTCATAGCCCCGTCTCCTCCACAAGCTGCTTCTTCAAACACCGACCCACGGTAGGTCAGGGTCTCGACTCCCTCCTCCCGCTCTTCTTCCTCAACTGCCAGGGCCCAAGACTCACAGGCAGCAGCGTCTATCTCCCCATGATAAGCGGAGACTGCCCCAGTGAAGCGTTCGTCTCAGCAGCCGGTCCGACTGCGCGGCCCTCCCCGAGTACTTCCGGCACCGTTCCCCGCCTCCAACCCGGAAACGCGCGGCTCTTCCGGCTGGCGGGCACGCGCCTGCCTCGCGCAGGCGCAGATTGCCTTCAGACACGTGGTGGTGGCGTTGGGCTGTTGCTCGGCTGTGATGGTTGAGCTTTTCCCAACCTGTGATTGACTGGCAGTGAAGGGGAGCTCGCGTCTTCTATCCTAGCGTTACGAACCCTGCCCTAGCTGTTGATTCCCGATTCCGCTTGTTGTATCTATCGCTACCACGACCGGTAATTGACACCCTCGGATGGCTTCGAGGTCGCAATTTTTGGTTGGTGCTTTTGTCGTGATACCAGTACGAGGATTCTTACTTGTGACAGCAGCACCCCATAGGAATACTGTTGGACCCCATTAAGGAAGCTGGCAGCATAAGAACCTGGGCACAAGGGAGACTGGCTGTGCCTGTGAATTCGCAATTAATAATAACAGGGGCTGCTCAGTTGGTTAGAGCGCCGCCTTGTAACACCAAGGTCAAGGGTTAGGGTCCTCATACTGGCCAGCCGCCAAAATAAGTAAATAAATAACGGTTGAGCGCTTGCTACCTGCTAGGAGCCGTGCTAAGTTCCTTACTCTGGTATGCCACTTTATCAGTTAGAGGAAACCTGTGAGAGATTAAGCATGGTTCTAGCTAATAAGTGCAGAGTCTCAGTTTGAACTCAGAACTCTCACTCCAAAGGCTGAGCCTGTCCTGTAACTAATTAAGCTCTGATGCTTTCAGTTGGGGGTGGGGGGTATTGGGTGGCTGGCCAGTTTTGGGATCCGACCTTGGTGTTATAACACCGTGCTCTAATCAACTGAGCTAACCGGCCAGTCTAGCTTTCAGTTATGTCATCCATCAAATGATTGGTGAGAAAACTGCTGTGTTTCTGTGTTTTGGTTTTTTGGGCGGCTGGCTAGCACAGGGAATTGAACCCTGGACCTTGGCGTTATCAGCACTGCACTTTAACCACACTTTAACTGAGCTAACCAACCAGCCCTGAGAACTGCTGTTTTCGACCATACGTATACTAGATGCTAAGCATGTACGGAAGACCTAGTTACAACACCTATGGGGTGTCACAGTAAGATGGTGAAGAAGCCACAAACACAAAAGAAATGTATAGAGGGCTGTGATAGCCCAGAGTGAGCAACAGTAGTTGCCAACAGGAGCCAGGAAGAGTTGGCCAGATTGGTGCAGCATCCTGCACTTTCTGTCCTTAAGTCGTCCCATCCTCATCCTACCATTTCCCCAGTCCACCCTCTCTCCACACTGCCACTGATCCAAATTCTCAGACTCAAGGCGTCATCACCATTAGTATTTAAGCCATCTTCCTAGCCTTATTTTCCTGCCAATGCTCTCTTCATTCTCTTTAGGGTCTGGCATACCAATTTTGTTTTTAATTTTTTAATTAATTACAAATATTCATGAGATACAAAGCTGATTGGCATACCAAGTTTTGTTGTTGAACTCCTGTACATCTTTTTTAAGACCCAGTTTGAATGTACGTTCATTCAACAAATGTTATATTGAGTCTCATTGTCTGCCCAGCCTTTTGCTATGTGATGGCTACATACTGGCAACTAAGACGCATGATATCCTTATCTTTAGAGAGCTCACAATCTAGAGTGGAAAACAGACCATTAGCAAGTGTACAGAAAGGTAAGAAGAGAGAATACCAGAGTAAACCAGACTTATCTAGCTGGGTGATGGAGGGCACTGAGCCAAAGCCCTGAGTTAGGGAAGAGCTTAAACTCAAGGACCAAGATGGCCAAGGTTGCTGGAGCTTAATAGGTAATGGGGAGAGACGATGTAGACTGTGTAGTCTACAATGTAGAATATGGTAGAGACTTGGGATTTTATTCAGTGCGCAATGGAAAGGTTAAGCAGAGGAATGAAATTGATTTGTTTTTAAGAGATAACAGTGGGAGCTGGCTAGTTAGCACAGTTGGTTAGAGTGTAGCCTCATAACCCCAAAGTCACAAGCCAAAAAAGAAAAAAACACTGGTGGATTTAGAACTCTCTCACAGACAATTGATGGCTCCCATCTCTGGACTTCCCACCTGTTTATACTACACATCTGCTTTCTATTACAGTGTAAGAGCTGTTTATGTATCTCCCTTCTCTTGTAACTTCTACTTTGTGAAGGGGAAGGACCTCCATATATTATTCAAATATATTAACAAAAGTAAAATGTCTAACAGCCTATACTTTTTGTTTAAAAATGTGTATATGAGGGCTGGCCCGTGGCTCACTCTGGAGAGTGTGGTGCTGATAACACCAATGTCACGAGTTCGGATCCCTATATAGGGATGGCCAGTTAGCTCACAGGGAGAGTGTGGTGCTGACAACACCAAGTCAAGGGTTAAGATCTCCTTACCGGTCATCTTTAAAAAATTAAAATAAATAAATAAATAATAAAAAATGTGTGTATGTATATAATGTGTATGTACATAGAAAACTGTCTGGAAAGATAAACACTAAACTGGGGAAAACATTTTCACATTTTGCAACATTTCTGTACTGTTTCAATTTCTTCACAATTATCACATATCATTTTTATATTAAAAGTATACGTGGGGCTGGCCAGTTAGCTCAGGTGGTTAGAGCACCATGCTATAACACCAAGGTCAAGGGTTTGGATCCCTGTACCCACCACCCGCCAAAAAAAAAAAAAAAGAAGGATATGTGAATGATCACATTTTTGTGCCATTCTGGAAAAGGCAAACTACAGAGCCAGAGAAGAGCACTGGTTGTTAGGGATTAGTAATAGCGGGAAGGGTTAAATGAAAAGTTACCAGAGGGACTTTCTGGGATGTTAGAAATTTTGCTATTTTGGTGATGGTAGTAGGTACATGAGTGTATGAGTTTGTTAAAACTTAGAGAACTCTAGTCAAAAAGGCGAATTTACTCTATGTAAACTATAATTCAATAAACCTGACATTTGGAAAAAGGACGTACATGGAGAAAATTTTTAAATGTTTTTAATACATAAGTAATAAAATTATGCAGTAATAAAATAATTCATCATCCTTTTTAAAAATTAGAACACTAGAAGTAAATCTAAATTTCTGTGTCACTGCCCCTATCCGGATCCCCTCCCTCCTTCCCAGGGGTAATCATTGATATGCGTTCTTCCAGGTCACTTTAAAATTTTCACATATACAAATACATGGCCATAGAATATATATAGCAATGGGTTTTGCGTGCACACCTGCGTGCTCTTAATGACATCAATGGTATCATGGTGGACCCTATTCATCACCTTTTTTCCTGTATCAGTGCAAATACCTACTTCAATCATTCCAGCTGTAGTACTGCCTTATATGTCACATAGTATCATGCTGTACCTTATTCTACAACCCATGTCACTCAATATTTCACACTTTCGAAGTACAGCACGTAGCAACCCACCACATGAACGCATCGTGACATCTGGCTTATGCACTGCCGAGACCTCTACTAGATGGATAGCTAGGGTAACCCAAGTCTGGGTGTTTTCTTTTCCTTTTTTTTTTTTTAACTGACCGGTAAGGGGACCCTAAACATTGACTTGGTGTTATCAGCACCACACTCTCCCGAGTGAGCCACGGGCTGGCCCAAGTCTGCGCATTTCAATTTGGGTAGGGTGAGATTAGCGTCTTCCCCAGTGAGGTAACACAGCCATCTAGAGCAGTCTTCCGCGCCGGGAGACGACTGCCGTGCCGGACAGTTGCCAACGGGAGCCGCCCGCCGCAGCCAGCCCGAGCTCTCCCCGCCACCCGCTCGGCGTCCGCGCGGACCTTCCCAGCAAGCACTGCGTAGATTTGCATATCACTCACATGTTTGCCTTTACTTCTTATACATTCTCCTTCTGATCGTTCTTCTCCGGCTAAGAAGATTTGGAAATTTCTTCCTTAACTTCAGGAACATGGAATAGGAAATTGCTTAAGCTTTGTTTTCACCTTTACCTAAAGATCAGTTCACCAACACTGCCACTGTGTTTTCGGAGTCACTTAAGCAAAAAGGGCTTCTGTCGTGAGTGGCACACGCAGGGCAACCCGATTGCTCTGCGTGCGGAATCGACATCAAGAGATTTCGGAAGCATAATTTTTTGGTAGTTGGGCAGCTGGTGATCGTTGGTCCCGGCGCCCTGGTCTG